CAAGAACACCTCCGGGGGGATTCAAAACCTTTCCCGGCCAACTTATAAAGAGGCCACCTTTCCTGGGGAATAGCTCGAACAGAGCTATCGGAAAAACCCATACCATATGAACCTTCTCCATCATATTTCTCAATCAATCCCCCGGATAGGGATGAGGCCAGTCTGGCACGCTCCCCCCTTGCCGCCCGTTGCGGCAAAAGGAATTGTCAAAAGGTCGATGGTGCGCCGGTAGGGGAGGTTCGTGATGATGTCAGGAGGGACGACAGGGCTTCAGGAATATCGCTCAGGAGGCGTCCCGTGAACATGTCGGACAGGTCGGCGGACTAGAAGAACCCATACATATCAGCTTCTTGTTGCACGTCTTGCTGATAGCGAGACAAGGGGGGGGGGTGTCTGTCTTACCTGGAGGTTCTTCTTCTCGGCCAAAACTTCACCAAGAAGCTTGCAAGCACCGATACCGAATGTGTTGCCAAGCACCTTGACCTCCTCGACATCGTTGGCACGCAGGTCGGCGATGTGAGCCTCAAGGTCCTCGGCTGTGTCGAGCTTGAGGCCCTTGCCCTCGAGGGAGAACAGCTTGAGTGTGGTGGCCATGGTGGTGCGTGGTAGGTGTACAATCGTGCAAAAGGAAAAAGCAGTCGAGTTGTCTGTTGATGCCAGGCACGGCTAGATGCAGACGAGTATGCGGTGTGGGAGTGAGGAGAGTCAAGGGCTCGTGGTGTTTTGGTAGTGGGGGAGGGGCAACAGCAACAAACGGCATGGGCATGCAGGGCAAAAAAAGGGATGGTCCGTAACAGACGGGTAGGTTTGCCTGTGCTCCTTGGGGCGAGTCCGTTTTGGCGGTCCCGTCTGGATAGCTGGCCACAGCTGTTCTCAGCTGAGTCACCGGGCCCGTTCTGGTCGCTTCAGTTCTACCATGTCGACCACCGTAGCAACTTTGCCAAGGGCTGTAAAGTGCTGCGCTTACAGTGTAATAAACTCTTCCACATATGGCTTCTCACGCATGTTCTTTCTTACTTATAGTGGCCCAATTCTATTGATTGTTTTGTTATGGTTAGACATTTGATTGACGAATCAGGTGACATTCCGTTGGCTTCATAGCATCGCAAGGCACAGAACTCATGGTGACTGGCTCAAAGCAATTCTTCAATGACAACAAGCGGAGCGATCCCTCGGACCCATCGATTCAATGGTATTTGTGATCATAGCATATAACCCCAACATCCGAAGTATTCTTTTTTGCGGTTCGAGAGCAGAGTGTGATAAATGACAATTCTAGATCGTACATCTTTTCCATATGGTTTCCAGGCCAATGTCAAGCCAGGGATCAACATTCATCGTCGCCAACGCCCAGCGCCTACCCTGACGAGCACCTTGCCTGCGGCATGGTAGGCCTCCTAGCTTCGCATACGCCTCTTTTACCTGCTCAAACTCCCCAGATACTGTCTCGCACGAGTCTGATGTCCCCCCTCTCGAGCATTCAATAACGCTCTGCCGTCCTCCAACG